TATGTAGAAATATATTTTAGAGGATAATAATAAAAGAATTATTATTACTAGTAGTAGTAGTAGTAGTGGTAGAGATATTTTGAAAGATTATGTAAACTAACTTTGTTTTTTTAACAGATCAAAAGATAATGGTGAAATTTCCACAGTTCCTTTAACTGCAGTACGTTCCAATTTTTTTCTATTAGTATCTATTATTTATAAAATATATTGTTATTAGTAAGTAAAGCAAATTGTAATGTTCATAATTAATTGTGTATAACATTTGAACTTTAGTACAGTGTGCAATTTGGTTTTAGTATAATTTGTGATATATAATTACTGTATTTGGCATAAATTATGTAATAAAAAGTTTATTCCTTTTATTTCACAGATTATATTAGACTATTTCCCTGAATACAATTGGATTGGACAGTTTATACAAATATTTATTGCTGTGAGCCTAACAGTGTCGTATCTTACGTTTGGATCTGCCATGAAGCACATGTGTAAGCAATCATTTTCCACTTCTGAAACCTCTCCCAGTAATGCACTTTCAATTGTAGTCCTGGCCCCCCCAGAGCCGGGTCATAGCGGGGCACTAGCCGGGAAGTACCTTAAATTTACCGGTAGATGTAGCTGTCCTCGGAAGGCCCGGGAATTTTACAAGTTAGAGTAGCCGCGGTTTCAGGTGTGTACGGTGGTAAGTGGCAAGGACTTAGACGGGGGTGTACGTTAAAACGATGCCCTGCATTGCCGGGAGTTGGCCAGGACTTTCACATGCATGTAACTGTTTTGGAAATTACATCTCCAGCTAAGTCCCCGCTAGGCCCGGGTCCGGGGGGGCCGGGACTACAATTGACAAGTGCATAAACCATGGACAAGTTGTACCATGTGCTTTAGATGACTTGTTATCTATTAATGGCATCTGTTAGCAAAACAATTCTTGATCATGGCAAATCCTTTCAGGAAATTTTAATTTTAATATTGGATTTTTCAATTTTTGTTTTTTTACATTTCTGTTGTTAAATGCCTCAACATTGTTTACTTTAGGGGCTATTGATGTAATTTATACATTATTATTTTTATTATTATTTTTTATTATAGAAGACCTATATATTGATTGATATATCATTACTTTTATTATTTATTTTTTATGCTAGAAGACTTATTAGGTAGATGAATTTTCACTAATCTCTAGGACATGACTAGTAGTAATTTATAGAATCATTGAGATAATGGTGATATTGATGGTTATTATTATAGTGAATGATGGGGCTAATCGTCTTAATATAATTTTCTCCCCGTTCCGGCCCTTCCCAATTTATATTTTCTAATTTTTAAAAAATATATTGTGCTCTTGGTTTTAAAGGTTGTTTGTGAAATATTGTGACAACTCAGTGTCACCCTGCATGAGCTATTGTTTAATGGATTAAACCAATGAAGGAATGTTTTTGAAACCTAAATCCTGAATTTCTATTAAGAATCAACAACTTTTGAAACCCCCTCTCCTACTAATGTTTACTTTTATTGTTGCACCCAATTGACAGTTTTGTTTTCTTTTTAAGTGGGAGGGGTGTTAGAGGCGGTGTTGCCACCAAGTTCCAATTCAAACGAGCCAACCAGTACGCTTCAAAGAGTCACCCAGTCAAGGTTATACTTCTTAATATTCTACATTTCTGCTATTATTATTTAATTAATCTTTTATATAATTAGTAAAACATTTCAAAATTGAAACTGATATATGACGAAGAATTGGCAAATTAATGTATTGATTGTTATATACATTTTATAATAAATAATTTCTCGATAAATGTGTTTATCACTGATATATTTAACTAATTTATATTTCAGATTCTTCCCGCCAATAGTGTTGCTCTTGATATATGTTGTCATTTTTGGTGTCTGCATGAAGAACCCAAAGGTATAGTTTTTTCCACTCTTTATAATGCTTTTAATTAAGGTGGCAATTATATTACATTATCATTTTTATGAACTTTAGTTGTGACCCTAAACCTATCCTTAATGACTCTCACTGCCATCATCAAATAGCTCATCTTTAAACTTTTGCTAATAATATATTATGCAAATATTGACTGCTCTTGAGGGGAATGGTGAAATCTATTTATCCTTGGTTATGTGGAGACCGTAGCCTACTATCTTCCCACCGAAGGCCTGAGGGAAGGTAGTAGGCTGTGGTCTCCACATCACAGAGGGGCTATATATTCCACTGTTCCCTGAAACTAGAGCAGTCAATATTTATTTTATATATACCTCATTCATAGATTTTACAAGGGCTAAAAAAGTAATGAAAAGAGTACCCACCAAGTAGGCCAAGGCTTACTTCCTAGGCGATCAAAAGGCCAATATCTTGCATCGTCACAGACGTTGTGTTCCCTTACCGTCCAAGCGTATAATAAATTACATAGCAATGTTATAAGTGGAGCCGAGAGATTACATCGCGACAGGGCAAAATAGTTTATTTATACGTGGTAGTACTTTTTTCCCCAGGAATTTATGAACTATCATTCAAATGTCATAGGAGAGATGGTTGAAGTTATTACCCACTTTTTAACCAATCAGATGCCTAGAGTCTATGTATGTGGTATAATAACTAATTCTCAATGAAGTCGCAACATGCACTATTGCAATACCCTTTAGGCAAGGGTAATGTACTTTTCAAGTTTTCAGTAGCCCTATGTCACATACAGTAGAACCTGTTCCCAAAACAGAGTAGGTTCCATTGTAAATTGAATGTCATTGGTCTTTTTATCAAAATTATTCAATTTATAGTGTTCCTTTTTGTTGTTTTTATAGGGGTTTGTTACAGTCATGGAATTTTTCTCTTCTACGTTTTTAAATCTTGAGGTTGGTTTCTTCCTCATTATGATGATACAAGGAAGCAGAAAGGACAAATACAGGTATTTGTTTAGAATACAATACATATTTACCAATATGTATTTATTTGTTGATTATTTTTACAGATAGTGATTAATCAAGCATAGTAAGCAATCAAAAAATATAATAGCATGGAAATTGATATACTGTATGATTGTCATTCAAAATCTAGGTGAAATTTGTGTACATTTCAGAGGAGGACCCAGCTGGCCTGGTCCACTCCCCCTAAATATTTCAAAATTTAAACAAGATGGAGGAAAAAAAAATTATATTCACATAGTATGTGTGAGAGTGCCATTTCCGGGCATCTAGAAGTGCCATAATTATGAATTTTCTTACTTCAGTACTAAACATGGTCAGGCTAAGGTGGTATAGATGGTTCACCTGTGAAAGTCTCTCCCTGGGCCCCCTATATTTCAAATTCCTGGATCAACCACTCTACAACCTAAACAACATAGTGTATAAAGTTCACTTGATCATATTTTTTACAATAAATGTATTTTTTGAACTACTTCAAAAATATATATATTTTGTATTGAAGGTCGATTTCAGTTTAAGGATAGAATAAATATAATCATATTGATAAAGTGGTTAATGATCACAATCACCATAGAAAATCAACTAATAAGATTTTTTAAACATAAATATATATATGAAATTTATTTGACGTGACATGTTTCTGGCCTGATGACATACCTGATGATGGGCTATGCCCAAAGCATGTTGTATCAGGGAACAGTGAAAATTTCTACTGAGGCAGAATACAACCATTTCGTTTTTGATTATGTATATATATATAGTTATTTTTTAATTATTATACAATCGATTTTGCAGAAATGTAGAGGTGCCATGGAAGTTACCTGAAGTGACGTATTACCTGCAGTATGTGATGTCGGTTTTCTTCCTTTTTGCGGTTGTCTTCGCAATCATTAAAGCAATTTCAACATTCTAATCTAATAATGAAGCATTAGTTACGAATCTAAATTTCGAAAACAAGAGATGGGACCACAATTTATTATTGTATTCCTATGGAATCTAAATTTGTATTATAGATTGGAAGTGATTTGTTTGAGGGCATTAATTATCTAGTTGGTTAACTTGTGGTAGTAACTGTGTTTGCACCAAACAATGTAGATCTTCTTTGCCTGGATCTATTTTAATAATACTCTTCCCTATGAAATAATATTAGTAATAAAGAACTTGACCATTTCTATTTCCGAAAACATTTATAAGCTGTTGGGCCTGGCTTTAATATGGTTTATGTGCATATGTGTACACTCATTAGCCTATGTTGAACTGGCCAAACCACCATTGGAGTGGGAAACTGCACTGTACCTAATACAGATCCCCAGACCCAGACCAAATTCCCTAGTTACTGAAGTAAACTTATCGTCTTACTTGAATGGATGGATGGGTATATACGGTGTAAACACCAAGGATAACCCACAGAAGTCTTAAAAGTGAGATTCTTCTGGTGGTGATTGGACAGTACACTAGGAGTACTACTCTTTTCCAAAGCGTGTACTGCGTTCTTTAACAATACGTGCACATGGGCCAACGACTTAAACATCTTATCTGAAAGACGGTGCTCTGAAATACAAGGAGAGCAGTGATGGAAATTGAACTAGGAACGACAAGATTTTGTTCAGCGCACACACACGGTAGCTATCCCCAGGTAAGCCGACTGAGCTAAGTGGCTCTCACTCAATTTACTACACAAGTACAAGGTGGTGCTGTTACATATTTTTATGTAAATATATAATTTATTTAAAATATTAGAGATATATAGTATCTTCTTCCACCTTGCAATGTAAACATCATTTGTTTCTACTGTTGTACAGTACTTAAAATTGTTAGGTTCTTGGTGTTGTGTTGGTACCATCTTAATATGTAATTAAAGTTTTGTCACCTTGTTTGTAAAATCTATGACATTAGTTAGAAACTAAGAACAAATTAAACTGCATCAAATCATACTAATTCTGAAAAAATGCTTAAAAAAAACCATAAACAAACTCATATATAATGGAATTTTGTCTACATCTTAACAAATATTTGTTGAAATACATAATCAACTTTAGGCCTGTTAGAAGTTTGGAAATAAAACTTTTTAGTGCAAAAGCTATACATTGTAATACTAGTTTTAGCAATATTGTATATAAGTGCTATTTAAGAGGTTTTTATTAAAGATGTACTATCAGTCATGAAGTAAAAAGAATGAAAATTGTAATTCCACATTTTAATTCCTTAAGTTGTATATTTAAGTAAGTTATTAACTAAAATTTAAAAATTTTAGGACAGTTAAATAATACCTTTTCTGTATTCTTTTTTGCAAATTGATTACCAGCCAATTTAAGGATTTCTGGCATAAAATGTCTTTTTATTGTCTGTTTCTCGTTAGCAGCTAATGGTTTATTTGGTCCTTTTAAATGAGCTATTCAAAATTTTACTTTAATTGTTTTTTTGGTCGATAGTACATCTTTAAACCATAGTAAAATATATTCTAAACGAACAATATATAAATAATTTTAATTATGTCTTTTCTATGCCTGTGCATCAGATTAATACCTAGCATTCCAGGGTAAACATAAGTAATATACTAATGTACATGATGTCAGTAAATATATAATTAGTATAATATATATTCTGAAGAAATTTAATAAAATATATTCAGTACATATGTCTTACCATTAAGTTTAAGTTAGTATCATGTAAGGTGTTAGAAAATCTGTTAATAGAATTTTAGTTCAGTTTTTAAGAATTATCATTTATAGATATAGGTAGTTTGATTCATATTTATTATACAGGTATCTTAAAATTGTCATGTTATTTAAGAGAATAATATTAATTCAATACACCCTCCAATTCGAGACCCCATAACTCTGAGACCCTTTCAGTTCAAGAACACTTTCTTAAAGAACCAAATAACAATCTTTAATTTTTTAACACAAAGCAAACGCTCTTGTTTGAGACTGAACCCCAAGACCACCCAAAATTTTCAGATCCAAAGCTGGTCTCGAATAGGAAGGCAAAGGTGTTAGGTTTAAATAAAATAAATGTTGTCACAAGAGGGTGTTGTCAATACAGGGTCCAAGGTGCTTATTGCAATGGTTTTTTATGTGCAATACTGGTATATATTTTTATTTTGGTGTACTGCTCACAGGGTTGTATCTCGAGCAATAAGTATCAATTCATCGTATGTAAAGTTGCGTACATATTAAAAATCTGTCACTTAAGTGATCGTTATGGTCTGTTGATTATTTTTAGAGTTTATTAAGTTGTTAATTCGGTTCAGTCATAAATGAAAGTTCAACAACACTTCATTCATAATTGTTTATATAGTTCTAAGGGAGTAGGCATTCCGGTATTCATATTTAAACAAATTTATTTTCATGCATCTGAAATATAACTTGTATATACACTTTGTGTTTAATTATACTGCCTTGAGGCACCAAAGCATCCAGCCTAGTAATTACGTACTGTTAATGTTGGTAACAATAACTCATTCATATTCTCGATTAATACAGGTAAATTGGTGCTGTTCTGTGGAAGGAACAGAAATATACTATGAGTACCAACTGTCCAAGTGGCTTAAGCTCATTTCAGACTATCAAATTTCATTTGACAAAAACATGTGACATGCCTAATATAGCTGTCTCTTATACACATCTAGATGTGTATAAGAGACAGCAATAATGATGTGTTAATGTCATCCTCAGGTCAGCAGCATATGAGAATTTTTACTATAGTTACAACAATTTTTACGAACCGGAAATAGAAGACGCTAGAAGTGCCTGGTGTTTCTAGTTAAAATGCTAATTAATGCTCATGACTAATGCATAACTTAGTTCCTCGATGTTGTATAATTATTCACATATTGACCAGACCTAACATACAGTAATTATGCTTTTTAGGATAATTTTGACCCTTTTAGCATCTAGCATATGTGCTGGCATAATTTTGGCAAAATTTAGCATAATTTTGTCCTAAGTAAAGTATCTCAAAATGGTCTCAAAATAAATAAATAAAAAATGGTCATAATTGAAACCCAACACAATTGGATGCTAAGTCAAAAATTATTTCATCCAAAAATCCTTTGCTGTTGTGGATATCTATTAGTAGGCCTACCACTGATTCCATCCAAATTACTCTATCACATCATCAAGTCTGTTTTGTTTTTTTCTATTTGCCAAGGCATTTGTCCCGCACATCTACTAAGAACCTTTTAATCCTCTGTCAAGTATATGCCTAAACAGTTTTGAAATGAACTCTATAATTGGGAAGAGCAAATATGATGTCATTTCTGTCATCTGAAGTTACTGTTTCTTCTAGAGTCACTAATGCCCAGTGGCGTCTAAAGGTTTTGCCGCCCGAGGGCAAGAGTAGAAAATTGTTCCCCCCACCAATTATAATTATAATATTTTGAAATTAATTGATATTGGTTGTGTAGAATTTAAGCATATCCGTACCGTCATATCATGCACTGTCTAAATAACATTATTTAAACCCGAATAGGCCCTAACTATTATTATTCTGACTCTCATATGTTCTTTCTTACCAGCGGTGGCCCCCGAATTTTTTTTGACGATTTATGGGTTTCAAAGGCTTATTTAATCGATTTTAGAGTCTACTAATATGTACAAAATACATATAATTTTTTCTCTTTCCAACGAATTCCTGACGCCACCCCTGTTTCTTACTGTTCCAATCCCAGGGTCCTGGGTTCAATTCCTGTCAGTGTTGAAGGATTTTTTCTCACGACCAAAACAACTCCACTACCCGAAATCTCATATTGAGAATTAGTTTGTGTAAAGCATCTTGTGTGTGTACTGTATGTTTGTCTTGTGTAAGTCCTAGGACTGTCACCTACAAGTAAGACAGTGATATATTCGCTATTGACAATCTTTGGCATATGTATTTTGTGCCTAAATAAATAATAATTAAAAAAAAATAAATAAATAAACTGCATTACAATGTTCGGAACTTTGTATACAACTTTACAATTATCCTAATTTGTAAGGCTGTTGTATTTATCGCATACAGGCAGTATTCTTATTCTCAAAATGTATCTTATAGTAGAGTCTTGTAAAAGTTGCTGAATTTTTAACATTGTTTAAACTCGCAACTGAATTTAGTTAAAATTTAAGTTAATAACATGATCAAAGTTTAGCAATGTTGTCTGCTTCATCCCGCTAAATACTAAGTAGTGTCAAAGCAGTCTCGCTTTCCCAACGTGGCTCTGAGATATGGCAGGATGAGCTAATAGTCATGTAGTCATACAGGATAAAAAAACAAGAGAAAAACGGTCGATATGGACTGAAAAGAAATCACAATCTATAAATTTGCAAATAAAAACAACTACATTCAGGTTCTTATTATCAACTGGAAAATATTCATGCCTGACGACATACATTAATTTCGCCCTTGACCCCTACGCCACTGAATTCCCCTACCTCTCAAAAAGATCTTTGTCCTTTCTCTGGCCAGATTTATGGTGGGCTTATTTTGATGTCATTAGTCCTTTTTCCATCACTTAACTATTCCACCGCCTGGCCTATCATTCTCTTAATCACCATTGCCATAAAATTCCTGAGAATGCAGGATGTGCATATATGCTGAGACAATACAAGGAGATTGGAAACGCGACCGGATTCTATATTGCTCTAGTTTGTGGTGTCTTGTGTTTCATTTGATGCAAATAATTGGTTGTTCGAACCGCAAACGGGCAAATTCCACACACAAGACAAGCGGATATTTTCGTGGCGGTATTGGACTATAATATTTTTTTAAAATATAGGCCTATTTAAACTTTTACTTTGGCAATTTCTTTGAAAGGTAAGATACATAAACACATATATTGCAGTTTAAATATCTGAAATTTATGGTATGCGTACATAAGTCTACAATAGGCTTGTAATTCGGCAACCCCTACCCTCAGTTAGCAGCCGTCCAGGGCTAGGCCTAACCGGGTCCCGACACTCGGTAAAATGCCTGAATTGAAGAAAGACACTAATCCAGCGTGACCACTCACAATTTTTGATATACCCAATGACTGGGTCGAAATTATCCAAGATTCAGCAAAAATTTCCCAAAATTACCCAAGCTTCCTGAAAATGCATTAAAATTTGAAAAAAAAAACCCCGTGTTTTTCGCATGTATAGTTTCCCTTTTAGTTCAATATAAACCATTTTTTATTGTAATTTTTTGTGTTAATTATTAAAATTAATATTCATGAGGTGATAATACAGATAGAAAAATACGCTCTCAGTCGGCCAGTGTTATAGTAGATCAGTGATCAAGTTCTATTATGTAATGCATTAATTAAGTAAGATCAATAGCAACGGAAATCACAAATAAACAATTCTGAATTCATGTTTATAGCAGTCAATTAACAATGTTATGTGCACTTTGTTGAGTTTTGCTTACTTGAATGGACTGACATATACTTTGTTACTTCTTAATTCTTCCTCTATTACAAAAATATTTAATTTTCTTAGTAAAAATAAAATACCCAAGGATTTCAACGGAATATCCAAGAACCCAAGACCAAGTCAAAATACCCAAGATCTTGGGTAAATACCCAAGCAGTGGTCACACTGCACTAATCCATAGTACATTTTACACGCATTTATAAGCACATATGTTCTGAAATCATTTACCACAACAGAAATGGTATTTTTGTGTGTACCTAGTAAGGCATGTTCAGAATCAGAGAATATGTACATACAGTCCAATTGATATATTTTCATATTCCTGCTTTTTGAATTGAAGCCCTGTTTCAAGTTTGCGAACTTTGGATGGGCTTCTTTTCGAGGCTACAGTACTTTTGCAAAGTAAAGAATGGGGCTTCTTTTCAAAATAAATGCTGTAAATTTTGGGAATTACTACAATAAAACAATAAATATGCCACTGTAATATCAACAACATGGGCATATATTGTGGTATCAACAGTAATGTTTCTAGCGATAAACTGCGCTTCGACCTGCGTGAACCAAAGGACCGGGTCGTTCGGCCAATATGGTGGTAATTTCATGCTTACCGCTGATGCTGTTGCCGTGGGTACGGTTGGTGCTACTCCCTGTTGAGATGCAGCAGGTGGTGCAATCGGTATATTTTCTCCGTTCATTTTTCTTCGGGCGGGGTCACCAATTAAGTAGTTGTAAACGTAACAATAGTAAACAACAAACTAATAACATATAAAACTATTCAATTTATTTCCAAGTGAAAAAACTATGGTAGATAAAAAAAAAACACTTGAGGTGTAGATCGGCAAACAATAAAGAATATACAAGTTCAAACAATAAAGAAGTACTGTTTATCAAAAGGTGTAATTCAACTGAGTACCAAAGGTTCAGATAGTTGTGATATATATGGCATCACCAATCACTCCCTATGACCAATAGGAATTGAGAATCAGTGGCCTTATTTTATGCCAGGGGAGTGACCACATTCCACAAAAAAAATGCAGACTGCTTAATCAATATTTATTATCTTTACCATGTGAAGATATATGAGGTCGTTGGACTTTATATACAAAGATGGTTAAATAATTAAAGTTAAGTGAAAATTCTCTAAAAAGACACACACCATGTTTGATAATAGTGGTATAAAACTGCTCCTCTCTCCATGTGTGTATAGGTGTGTGTGTAGTGTGAATTTCTTTCATATACAGTATTTTTCATGTACCTACTTACATACGGTACCTACCTGCCTACCTACCTGTTCACCTATTCTACATTTATTTCAATTTTGATACAATACAAATGGTGGTAGGGATGCCATTGATAAAACAAGATACAACATTTAACAAATTCAAGACGACAGATTAAAAAGAAATAGATCTATATAAACAATCGAGGTAGATTTTATTTTTTAAGAAAATCCTGCAATGAAATTAAAGGATTAAAATAACATTTCAGGTATTTTTGGTTACTTGGGCCAGGAACTCACTGTGTCGTACAACGCTCGCACGATAAATCCAATTCCGATCCCTTTGAGCGCTAGACCATGATGATTGTGGGTGGTCGTCTGAACGTATTGTCATTAAAAACAATCTGTTGCGTGCCCGTCATCGCGTTGCAGGGGAAGGGGGAGGGGGTGCAGTGGCGGATCCAGGAGTGGGGCGAAAGAAGAGCTTGATTGTTTTAACACTCACTAATTTTGAATTTTCTATTGATCGACGACGAACACAACGCTATATCCCCGACGATTTCATAAATCAGGATCTAAAAAAGAATGTAGTACCCAGCTATAGAACAGCTATCCATGCTCAGTGGCGTAACGCCTATGCGCTCTCGTGCGGTGGTCCGTATGCCATCGGACCTTAGGGCCCCTTTAGTTCCCCAACCCATGAGGGTCCAGTAAGGTCCTCGCTCTATAGCACCCTGATCCCCAATGGCTTTAATAAATGACAGCGTGTTTCTGACATAGACTGTATGGCATATATCATAATAATCCAGTGGGGTTAGGGTGTTCAGCCGGCCGGCCAGGTCCACCCTACATTTGTCAAAATAACAAAAATAAAAAAGAGAAAAAATATTCAAGTCTGAATGAGTGCCATTTCCGGGCATCTAGAGGTGCCATAATCATAATCTGTCTCTTATACACATCTAGATGTGTATAAGAGACAGAAATATGCCACTGTAATATCAACAACATGGGCATATATCTGTCTCTTATACACATCTAGATGTGTATAAGAGACAGGCCTGGTGTTTCTAGTCCGATCCCTTTGAGCGCTAGACCATGATGATTGTGGGTGGTCGTCTGAACGTATTGTCATTAAAAACAATCTGTTGCGTGCCCGTCATCGCGTTGCAGGGGAAGGGGGAGGGGGTGCAGTGGCGGATCCAGGAGTGGGGCGAAAGAAGAGCTTGATTGTTTTAACACTCACTAATTTTGAATTTTCTATTGATTGACGACGAACACAACGCTATATCCCCGACGATTTCATAAATCAGGATCTAAAAAAGAATGTAGTACCCAGCTATAGAACAGCTATCCATGCTCAGTGGCGTAACGCCTATGCGCTCTCGTGCGGTGGTCCGTATGCCATCGGACCTTAGGGCCCCTTTAGTTCCCCAACCCATGAGGGTCCAGTAAGGTCCTCGCTCTATAGCACCCTGATCCCCAATGGCTTTAATAAATGACAGCGTGTTTCTGACATAGACTGTATGGCATATATCATAATAATCCAGTGGGGGTAGGGTGTTCAGCCGGCCGGCCAGGGCCACCCTACATTTGTCAAAATAACAAAAATAAAAAAGAGAAAAAATATTAAAGTCTGAATGAGTGCCATTTCCGGGCATCTAGATGTGCCATAATCATAATTTGCTTTGCGACTCCCAGACTATAGGTAATTGATTAAACCTTTGTGACGCTCATGAGGGGACTGGTGTCTAAGGGAGGGGAAGCATAGCTCCCGTAAGTAGGAAGTTATTTATTTCGAGGAACACTGCGTCTTTTCTTAAAATTTGCTCACCTCAGCCCCAACCATGGTGGTGAGGTGAGTGTGGATACTTATTGCTCCCCCTTCCCCCCGTCAGAATATTTCTGGATCCGCCCCTGGTCCTTCATAGAATCGCGTCGACCGACGACCGTCAGGAGCTGTGCCCGGCTTTATACACTGGTAATAAACTTTCTTTTTGAAACTCTAACTATGTTTTGCATTCCTTATCGTAAGAGATAATTCATTCAAGATTATTGCGCCAGATTACTGAACACTTAGCTGAAATTTAGTATTGGGCCTATATGGTAATAATAATTATATAATTATAATAAATTAATATACTTTAATGCAAATTGTCTTTCTTAAGCCGGCCACTCACTGCGCCGACAGTCTCGCTGGCCGACATGATTCCATCGAGAGCACAATTTAACGAGGCAGCGCTCGACAGATCATTTTTTATGACAATCTATAGTTTTTGGCTGCCATCAACAATCAGCAGGGGCGTTGTGTTGATTAGGGACTCACGTCAGAGAGTGGAGAGAATTCGTCAGATCAAGAAACAGTCGAATGACGCAGTGTGTACCCAGTTAACTCACAGTCAATGAAAGACACTTTAAGGAAAACCATGTATTGGACTTCTACCCAGAATAAAGAAGAAATTAATAAAATACAATTTAAAACTTATATTCTTGAAAAAGCAGCTACAGTAGCTCACATGGTGGGATGTAAACGAATATATTGCCTGGCCATAGCACATAGCATAGTACATTATACTTAGGCTTAAAGTTAAGTAGGCTAAGCTGCCGCTTCAGACATCCGTGACTTAATAGATTCAGAGAGTTTTTTAAGTTTCACCATCAATTGTTCATTTTCTTCCGGGGTTGATTTTGTCCAGGCTAGAGGCAGATGTGGACAAGCAACTTTCCTATCTGTTATAACAAAAATCCAAAGGAAATCGTTATGAACGTGGTAAGAATCGATTACATGGTAAATGCCATATTTGATTTTTGTAAGTGCATTTTGAATTGAGGATTTAAAAATTGCACATTATACATTTAAATCTTTAAGTATCTGGGGCAGCACAGTGAAGATGTAAGACATCTGAAAAGAAATCTTGATAAAAATCAATTAAAAAATAGCTAGCTGAAGTTGCTTTGGCAATTAAGAAAGACATCCTTTGTACATATGTACTGTTATTATTATTTCAATGTGATAACTACCTGATGTATCATCCTACTAAATACTTGGCATGTTCCCAAATACTAGGCCTAGTAAGAAGTAGATCTACTATTGGATATTTTTATTAGATGGTTGAGCCTACAGTATGATGTATTTTATCATTGTTCTCATGTCGTGACTTTCCATCAGTGACTTACCTATGAAAAATTGGCCATTTTCTAGCTTTTTTGGTTTATCAGCGATCGCAAGCCAGACAATGGTGTCTGCTCCTTGCTCTGGAGATCGTAGTTTCTCCTTGAATGTATTGTAGAACGCCGGCATTGATGTTCTCACAGTGGGGGTGTCTGTCCAACCGGGGTTCATAGTGGAAAACAGTATATTTGAATGTAGTTTTGCCCATTGGCTTGTCATCACAACTTGTTGACGCTGAGGAATAAAGTATAATAGATAATAAAAATATCAAAATTAGAATAAGTAAAAGAAAATATAACAAACTTATTCATATTCAGGAATTTTGAGTGGGTTATGCTGGGACAATTTTGCTATGGCCAAAATGGTAAGATATCTCCTTATATATTGGAGTATTTGTGTCCTAAGTGTAGGTGTATGTGCAGATTTGATGATGGTAATGATGATATTTCATAATAGTACTTACATTTATAAATATTATATATATGCATATATATATTATATAAATCGAATAGAGGGTAATACAGTGCTAAAATCATAGGCGTAGATCCCCGGGGGGATATATCCCCCCCCCCCAATATTTGACAAGGGGGGGATCCCCCCCCCCCCCAATATTTTGACTATGTATGGGATAAAATGGAGTTTTACACACTTCAAAAGACTGTCACAGAAATAATTTGCAATGTCTTATGCGCTTACAAAGATGAAAATTAGCATAATGAATTAATGTTGATAACAACATTATTTTATCTGGTACCAATCTAAGCTCTTCTTTCCTTAGATGTTAGATGTGCTTGCAAAGCAAGCCACATTTTCACACTGAAGTAATTTTATGTCAATTCCAAGAATTTTCAATCATCCCCCCACCCCCCAATGAAAAATACTTCTCTACGCCACTGGCTAAAATATATAGAAACATGTTGTTAAAACATAGGGCCTAGCACATCAACGAAAGTTCCTTATCCCGGTAGGTGTATGAAAAAAGTATATAGAAACATGATATTATAAATCGTATCAAGCATAGTTTACCAACGAAAGTGCCTTATTAATTGTATGAAAAAGAGGTCTCTGGTGGAAATCCAACCTGCAATTTCTTGCTATCTCGGCCCGCCATACAACTTCAGGGCTCACACCCACTGATCTCTACTATAATAGCTGGATTGCTCATGACTGGTTTTAATTAGGCCATCGGCGCCATGTTGTCATTTTAGATAAGTTTCTTTTGGCATTTGCTGAAATTATTTTTAAAAATAACAATTCTTGCAAATCTTTTTAATAATACATTTGTATTCCTGTAGTAACAAGGCCTGGCATGCCACTGTGTTTAACTTTTTTAGGCCGGGCTTTAATCATTGCGGGGGATCTTGCATTGACTTCCGGGTAACAAAATGACCAATCAGCATTCAATTACGTACGCATGAGCAAACGGAGGTACGTTTTGCGAGCAATGTTTTGAAACACGATTCCTGGTTATGGTTGATTATTATGCAACTATGGCTAAACCCGCTAGTCTGAACGCCTGGCGAAGTTAAGCCGAGCTTAACGTTGAGTCGGGCTTAACTGAAGCCTGGCTTATCTCCAAATCTGAACGTAGCCCAAAGTATATAACTCTGGTATCGACATTCTACGCGCAGCACGCCCCTACACGCTAATCGTCACAAAAATCATAGCAAACAAACCATAGGCTATGTTCTCACACGCTGCTAACGGTTAGCAGGATCCGGATCCTGCTAACCGTTAGCTGCCGTGCGTCCATACGAGAAAATCCCGATCCGGATACCAAAAATATGATGATCGAATCACTGGCCAATAAGAAACTGTAAATTGTTAACGCGTACGTGTGATTGGTTGATGATAAAAACGCTCTCAACTTGCTAGCCGATAGCGCTTGCTAACCGTTAGCGGTGTCCGGAGACTGCTAACAGTTAGCGCTAACCAATCGGGCGTTCTCACGCAGGTGCCAACGATTAGTGCTCCCGATCCGGATGCGATTTTTTTTCCGTACGAAACATTTGCATGAAACTTCACTCGGGCCATCTCGGATTGACTCGAGTGAGTACGATACGAGGAACAAGAGCAGACACTTCGCAATGTCGTGACGCTCGAGTTTTACTATTATTGCTCTTTCTATGTTTACCTACGGTAGGCCTATGAAATTTCACGGACTTATGTGATGTGATGTGACTTATGTACGTCACTGTGTAACTAACTGTGACCTTCTTGGATGTTATTAAATGTTAGTATATTATCTACAACAACAACAGCTAGTACCTCCTGTTATACAGTGTAGATAGGTACAGTTATACCAAAGGTTAGAGAGAAAGAGGATAAACTATAGGCCTAACTAGAGGCTGAGGTCTTACCTAGGCCCCTCCTTAAACTAGGCCTGGCTCAGGCTGTCACGCTTCACATACTGACATGGACTGAAATTTTAGGGGGGAAATGGGACAAAATTGAAGCATAAAATGAAAAATAGAGCGCATAAGAGAAATATTATTAAAATAAATAATATACCATTCCGGCGTTATTGAACTTGTCCAAACTATCATTGTATTTAATGCTAAATAATAATAATAATAATAATAATAATAATAATAATAATAATAATAATAATAATAATAATAATAATAATAATAATAATTTCAGCATTAATTACCCTTGGCCTGTAATGAAGAACCTACAGATACTGTACTATTTACTAGGCCTATAAATAATAATCGCCCTGAGGGGAATATCTTTTGTGTTATTCCCCTTAACGTCGTTTTTTTAATTGTTCTCTAATTCCTCCATTGTCTAAGTTCCCCCTAAAGTACAGGTAATAATAATAATAGTTAATAATAATAATAATAATAATAATAATAATAATAATACTGTAATAATAATTATAATAATAATAATAATCATTTCAGCATATAATTACCTTGGCCTAAGGCTTGTAATGAAGAACCTACAGATACTCCTTACTGGGCCTATAAATAATAACTAACCAAAGGGGAATATTTTTTTGTGTTATTTCCCCTAGTTTGTCTAAGTTCCCCTTAACGTACAGGTAATAATAATAATAATAATAATAATAATAATAATAATAATAATAATAATAATAATAATAATAATTTATTATCATTTCGGCATTATATGTAATTAACTTGGTCTAGCCTTGTAATCAAGAACCTGCGGATTACTATGACTAATATTAATAACTAGTTCATTTTTACATTCATTTGATGTTCTGCCATTTTGGCAGGTCTTATGGCATCTAGTATTTTAGAGCTGCCTATTCTCAGCTCTTCTCTTAATTTGAAAATAACTGTCACTCTGTTTCATTGATCAGATGAAGAAAAACGCGCTTTTCCTTACTCTTTGTGCTTTTTCCAGAAAGCGTTTTTAGTAGGCCTAGGTAATTATGCAAAACCAAGGCCTAACTAAAAAATTAAAATTGTCATAGTAGGCCTATGTAACTCAAGTTAAAATAACACTTTTCATTACTCGTGCAGCTTAATCAAATATTATATGTCATTTTAAACGACCCATTGGTATTAACACGGTAACATCAATGTATTTTTAAAAATTAGACAGCGACGTTCTCTCAGAAGTTGTTCTGTAGACGTTTATCTGTTGATGACCTTTTGTCCTCCTGAATTCTGCAATGAGATTTTCGGGTCGATTCAGCCGAGACGGCCCGAGTGGAGTTTCATGTAAATGTTTCGTACGGAAAAAAAAATCGCGATCCTGATACTAGTTCTCTCGTGAGAACCAGAAAATAATTAACCGTCAGGGTGTGACGAATTACTCGCGTGCATGTCAGTTGCCACGATAATCGCGCGTCGTGCGGTGGTTACAAAGGCCTAATGAACTTTTGTTACAACAAATTTTATCGATAAGGTGGTGTCTGGTGGTTCACGAGACTCACTTCGCAGAAAAAATAAATAAATGTTCTGTATCTACTGTATTGTATGCCACAGTATAAAGATTAAAGGACTGTACGCATGCGCTATGTTCGCAAGCGGAGATGTGCCTCCTTTTGCTTTTGTTCAATTACCTTGCTCACACATGGAGCCAATTCTTAAGCTATGTAAATAGCTTATATCAAAGATACTAAAAAATATTTTTAGTATCTTTGCTTATATGTAGCAGCTGGTGAATCATAGGAAATAATATTCTAACAAGTTGCCGTTTAGCACTAAGAACACCAATAATATATAATTCAAATAGATAATAATATAGTGCTCAAATACATAGGAACATGATGATGATATAAATAGTATCAAACATAGTTCATCAACGAAAGTTCCTTATTATAGTTGTAAAAAAGAGGTCGCTGGTGGGAATTGAACCCACGAACCCACAATCTCGGCGATATATATATATATATATATATATATATATATATATATATATATATATATATATATACATATATATATATATATATATATATATATATA